TAGTCATTCAAATATAACAAGCAACAATTGCTCACTCTGGCAAGCATAGTAGCAAACTGTGTTGAAAGCTAGAAATATTTCTATGGGGATTCTTAGGAGACATCATAGTTTGGTTTAACACTTCCTCAAGTGATTGAAAACCAAACTCAATTTACAACCCCTCCACAACTTCAAACACCATAATCAGTCAGCTAACTCTCAGCATCACTTGGCGCCCAGACGCTGAACCTGCTGGGAAGGGACAATATCCAGCAACTATGACCATGGCAGTACAATTAAGACTATTGGAGCTGACGGCGGGTTTTCTGCTCTTATAAGTAATTCACATATTTATATTATTCTTCAAGATGTAGCAGCTCGGTTCTCTCATTATGTCTAATCCAACTGGAAAATTGATTGTCTCTGGTTGTTGGTAGCTCAGGGTATATTTTTTTTTCAAAGCCCGGTAAGAAACTAAAATAGGAGATAGCTCAAATTACACTCTTTGATTTTGGCCTTCCATTAACTGACCTGGCCAACATTCAGTTCACATTTACCACACACATAGGACACATAAGGCGGTAATATGGAACTAAGACTGAGAAATGCTGGTCCATCGCTTACTGCGATTTGAAAGGAAAGGAGAGCCCACTGCGTGTGGACAGACACAGGCTGCTCTGACATCAGCGATGCTCTGATCGAGTACTCCTCCCTCCCTCAAGTCCCTCTTCGCTTCGAAGCTGCAACTCACTCTCTACCTGACCCTAGGCATAAGCTACAGACTAGAGTTCATCGGTCTTAACATAAAATTGCTCTGTGTGGCAACCTGTAAGCCTCACTGGACAAAATTATTGCATCTCTGGGTAGCATCCAGCACAAGGATGGGAAATATGCGAAAATTATAATGCCTGCCCACTCAGCCCTCTACTCAAGAGGCCATAGACTCCCTCCCAGAGCTTCCCCTGTGTTGCATGTAGTACTTTTGCTTTAAAACTCCAGCCCATTTGGCCATGATCTATGGTCCACTATAAATACCAATTGGGGTGGTCAAAAAGTGTTCATGTTGAGCAAAATATGAGGGGGACAGGAGAGAGAACCCACAAAGTAACATCTTCAGGAAGGAAACCCTCCATGAAGCCAAGGAACCAGGCACAAGCTCTAGAGCGGTGGTTCTCAACCTGTGGGTCTCGACCTCTTGGAGGGCAGAATGACCCTTTCACAGAGGTCACCTAAGACCACCTGAAAACACAGGTATTTGTATTACAATTCATAACAGTAGCAAATTTAAAGTTATGAAGTAGAAGTGAAAATAATTTTATGGCTGGGGTGACTACCACATGAGGAGCTATATTAAAGGATCGATCGAGGTACTAGGCAGGTTGAGAACCACATTGCCTGGTACCAGACCCTGATGACACACTTGACTAGTGCTGGCTTCCCTGGTTGCGGTTCCTCATCTATCATTGTGGGATAAGAAAAACCTACCTCAGAGAACTGATGGGAGCATAAAACAAGATCGCCTTCACAGAGCCTAGTGAATGTGATGTAGTCTCCACTATTATCAGGGTCTCCCTGAACTGCCACTCAATCCCTAAGATAAAGTGTTAGCAGAGGGCTGGAGAGATGGTTCTGCAGTTAAGGGCATTAGCAGCTCTTCTAGAGAACCCAGGCAGGGTTCAATGACCAGCATCCACATGGCAGTTCTCAATCATCTGCAACTCCAACCCCAGGGGGACCTGTTGCTCTCTTCTGGCCCCCAAGGGCACTACAAACGCATGGAACAGACAAATATATTATTTGGTTGGGTCCTAATCATGAGCTGGAAAATATCCCCATGAGAATGTGATATCCACATTTAAGAGTTGATGCGGAAACGTGGTCCAACTTAGTACTGACAGAGCAGTAAGAGGTCTAGTGAATCCCAGCAAAGTCTGCATTGGGTGACTGGGTCCCCACGCTCTGGCTGTAGTACTCCTTGAATGAAACTGTATTGCTGTAAAACAGGCCCCCTGAACATGGGTGTCAGTTGGGGGTCTTGGGGCAGTCTGGCCGTGGAACCAGTATTTATCCCTAGTGCACAAATGGACTTTGGGAGTCCATTCCCTATGGAGGGATACTCTCTCAGCCTAGACACATGGGGGAGGGACTCAGTCCTGCCCCAAATGATGTGACAGACTTTGATGATCCCCCATGGGAGGCCTCACCCTCCCTGAGGAGTGGATGAGGGGTTGATGGGATGGGGGGATGGTGGGGGGAACGGGAGGATGAGAGGGAACGGATTGGTATGTAAAATAAGATTGGTTTTAATTTAAATAAAAATTAATTTGAAAAATCCCCCAGTCTCCTCCCATTCATTCAGCGTAATTCTCTGTCAAATCAGAAATACTAGATGAATTCTGATGAACTATCAAAAGCAAAATTCTCACTCGTAACGGAATAAAAATAACAATAATGAACGGGAAGTCATTCCAACCACTTCAATTAAGTGGTGTTAAAGATCCAAACCACCGGCGGCCCACGGTATCAAGTCATTTTTCTTTTTCCTTTCAGGATTTGTAATCTGATCATGCAAAAGAACCCTGGAATTCCCTATTGGCCTGGGTAACATCTCTCTTCCCATATGTTTGCTGTGTAGCAAAATTAATGAAGAGTTAGTGGTTACTCCAAATATCTTCTCTAATCAGTCCTGACACTGTAGGAAGACACACTGTTGTTCAGTCGTACAAAAGGAAAACAGGTCACGGTGGCTGACTTCATGGACTACCTTTTAAAGTTCTCATACCAAAACTCGGAAATGTTCCTAGTGATTCAAATGTATACCCCCAAGTACTTAAAGACCTAACTATCAGCTGCAAGGAAAATGGGAAAAGAGAATTCAACGTAGCCAAAGCTGTTTGTCCCCGACATAGTGCCTGGTTCCCACTTGCTAAAATCAGCATTCACAGTAGTTGACATCCATGCCAGCCTAAGATAAAAGGCATGTCTCGCTTGTGTAAGAAGCAGGGACAAGGAGAAGCCAAGTCATAAACTTAGCTTTCTATTCGCTTCACCCAGCCACTGCATATTCCTATAGCCCTCTCTGGTAGGCCCGCGAGAAGAAGTGACATACATTTGAAAGCCTAGGCGGCAGAGGATGCAAAATGCCTAGAAAGTGCCAGCCTAGGCTGCCGCTGATGTGAAGCTGCGAGTATCCGGGAGCTGAGAGAACCGCCACACGCACAACTGTAAAGTCAAATATTTAGACAGGTGCTTCACACACCGATGTTGTGTGCAGACCGTCCGCACTGCACTTACTATCTGTTAAGTAGTCTCAGAGTGCAACAGCCCAAGTCGCAGGCTCGGAGCATGAAGTTTATGACAACTGATACGCCTGGAGAGACTGTGAAGGCGTGAGTCTCATCATAACTTTCAGCAGGCCAGCAATGGCCAGTGGGGCCGTGGGGAGGCGGGGCCTGGGTACAGGTGTCTTTCCTCAGGACTTTCTTACAACTCCTCTTTAACAGCTTTCAAATACAATAATAGTTCTAGGAAAGGAGTGACGGGAATGTCGAGTATAAAAGCATTTCCAGTTCAAACTAAGAAGGGGGGGGTGTTTAGCAAGAACAGCACCTGAAAAGACTAAAACCCACATTGCACAAAGAGCCTGTAAGACTTTTCAGAAGTGATAAAACTGCAAATGACACGGGCATCCCTGAGGACGTGTTAAGTTTACAATGAGGAACTAATCCAGCGTGGTGGCTGGCACCTGGAGTTCCTGCATCAAAGAGCTGAGGCAGGGGGATTGCTGTGAGTTTGGGACCAGCCTGTGTTACATAATAAGTTCTAAGCCAGTCATACTGTATGAGCTACATACAGTATGAGGCACTCTAGAAATATACAACAAAACAAAAAGGAATAGCTCCTTGAATGGACAATCTTCAAATCTACAAGCAAAAGTGTTCTTAACTTATTATTGTTATTATTATTATTATTTTGAGATACGGTCTCCCATAACCCAGAATGGTCTTGAACTCCGGATCCTCCTCCTTTCGCCTCCCAAGTGCTGAGGTTTTTTACAGAGGTGTGACGCCCCCCACACACAATGATCTTCTAACAACTTTAATTCTAAGAAATTCTAAGAGTAAAAACAAAGTTGAGGGATGGAACGTTTGGGACCACTCCACGAAACTTCAACTCCCCAACTTAGTAGACGCCTGTGTGCTTCAGATCTCCAGGTAGGAACAAAACGCTCTTACTGAGAGAGACCTGTGCAAAATCAGGCTAAGCCCAAGTCCAGGCTACCCGTAGGCATGGTTCAGTCCCAGTGAACATTCCACCTTAACAAGAAAATCTGACCAATGTTATCAGGTGAGGAGTAATAGTCAGAAGCAAAACTCCAGAACAGTGTTTTTAATCCGAGGAGCAAAGCTACAAAGGTCCAGCCAGGAGTGGGACCCCTCTCCACGTTCCATGTTAGGGACCTAAGGCATGGTTTGGGGGGGTGGGTACGCCCTAGCAAAAGCTTGCAGCCAAAGCTCAGGAGTCAAGGATGGCTGGAGAGATGCCACAGGTGGCCCAGATGGCTAGCTGCTCACTGTGCACTTAGGCCTCCGGGAGGCCCCAAGCCCAGAGTGCCTTGCAGAGGTCGAAAGGTGCCCTCTCTCTGTATCTATCTGACCAACTTTAAAGAGCACGGGAGGTCTACAGAGGACTCTAGTATCCCTCACCCTGAACCAGCTAGCTGGACTTAGGGTGCCAGCCCAAAGCACTGATCCAGCCCTTCCCTTGGGGGCAGGGAGTGTCTACAAGTCCCGGAGGGGCGTGGGGAACGCAGTGGGCGATGGGGCCCAGGAAGGGGCGCCTGGCGGGCAGATAGATAGAGCCGCGCCTAGGCCGGCGGTCCCGCGCCTACCCCAGAGACCTCAGGGGTGCAGGGCCGGCGACGCCCCACGCCCCCCGCGCCCGCCAGGTCTCCCAGACAACAGCCGCCGCCACACTTCCGAGGCGGCTCCCCACGCCCGGCCGGGGCCCCGGCTTCCCACCTGTCCCGGGGGTCGATCCAGCTGGTCCTCCTGGTGTTGTGATCGATGTAGAAGACCTTGCCGTCGTAATCCCTGGCCTCCTCCCAGCCCCGGGGTAGCGGCAGCTGCCCGCTCCCGGTCCTCCTAGGCATGGTCGGCGGCCTCGCCGGCGAGCGGCGCCTCCATAGGGACCGGGCACGGGGCGCAGCGGGAACGCGGGCACCGGCGAGAGGCGTGCGGGGCGCGGGGCGCGCGGCGGGCCACGCGCGGGGAAGCCTCGGGAATCCCTGCTCTCAGCCCTGCCGGGGATCAGTCCACCATGTCTGCGTCGGAACAGGCGAGCGAGCCCTCCTCCTCCTCCTCCTCCTCCTCCTCCTCCTCCTGGCCGCCGCTGCCTCCGCCTCTTCCTCCTCCTCCTCCCCGTCCCCCTGTGGCCGCCGAGGGTCGCGGCGCCCAGGCTGCCCCGGCCGACGCCGTCTGGGCTCGGATCCGGGAAGCTCCGCGGAGCAACGGCCCGGCGGCGACTGGCCTCCTCATTTGCGTGCGATTAGCATGCGCTCCGCCCCGGCCCCGCCCCGCGCTCGCCTCATCTGCATGCACATTCCTCGCCGCCACATTCCTGAGCTTAACCCTGCCGCTGCCGGCGTGGCCGCAGCGGGACGCGGGGCTGCACCCGCCCGGGGGGGAGCTGGGGGGAGGGGAGCGGCCAGACCAGGTGGGAGGCGGGAGGGCGAAGGAATGCACAGCTCGCTCCCTCCTCTCCACCCGGAGTTATCTCCTTTCGGCCAGACCCTTTGGGGCATTTAAGAGTTTCAGGACGAGAAAGATGGCAAAAGAGAAGTCTGCAAACTTCACAACTTTCTTCCTCCGTCTTCTAGGGAAACCGCAAGGCTTTCGAGAGGAAAGGGTGGGGAATGCCGTCCTGGGAAGAAGTCCTAACAAACAGCGAAGGCACAGAAACTCCCCCACGCCGCGCCCCGTGCCTTGGCGGTTCCCGGCGGTAGGGAAATGTGCAAAAATCGCTGGGAGTGTGTCCGGGGCGTGTCCGGGACCGCGGCGGCCCCGAGCCCTCTGCCGGGAGCCTGGTCCTCGGTGACCTCACCGAGGACCTCGCGGGCCTCGGGGAGCAAAGTAAAGGCGGGTCCCCGACCCGTGAGCGCCGCGACACGTCCGCCCTAATGGCCTACGGGGGAACACCGGCCCGATCCGAAGAGGCGACAGGGCCACCCTGCCGCTGTCGCTGCCACTCGCCACGCGCGGGCCCTGGGGATCCGAATCACCCGCGCCAACCTGCCGCGTCGGGGCGCTGCACCGGCAGGGCCAGGGCCCTCTGCATCTGGCGTTCCCGGCTGGCTCTAAGTCCAAGGGACATGGCCGCGTCCAATATTCTAGTTCCTTCCAGCTGTCTGTCCCGGGAAGTTCCCCACACCAATCCCAATCAATCTGGCCCAGAAGCTGTTGACGATCACCCGGAAGGGAGCCTGAAGCAGGGGTCGGAGGCCACACTTTTCTTGAAGGGTTCAACTGGTACGAGATGTAGATCTTCTCTCACAAACATTTACTTATTAAGCTATTAAGTGCTGGTCCGCACTGGGTAGGATGTGGATGTAGACTCCTGAGAAGAGAAAGCCCTGGCTGAGCTTGCAATGTCCCCTGTGCTCCTGTCTGGGAGCCTTCTGCCCCCCAAACCTGTACAGCTCTCTGTGCACCACCACTTTAACTGGTATTCTTCGGGCCTCTAAGCAGATTCTCTTGAAACAGCAGCACCCTAGGAAGAAATGCCCCAGAGCCCAGTCATTGTCCTAGTCCCGTGTGCTAATGTAACAGCAATGTAATAACCTGCTAATGTAACAGCTTCTCGTTTTGTCAGAGCCTGCCATGGGCCAGGACATTTTCTGTGTCTGGGCATTTGTTGAAGAAGCTGAACATCGAACTAGACAGTAAGAGGCCGAGGCTTGAAACAAACTGTCAGATGGGAACTCGCGGCCCTGGAGGGGATCTTAGGAATGAAGCCATTCCTACACCAGTAGAAATGTGAAATTCCCTCCGAAACTGGAAAGCCAGGAGCACTGGGGGAAGGAGGACCAGAAAGAAACAGGGGCTCCCAAGAGAAATGGCTCACTATATCTTTCTAACTCTTCCCTATAATACCAAGGCCTGTGGAAGCTACTTTATCTTTCTAGGTCTTCGCCATAATGCCAAGGCCCATGGAAGCTAGGCTTTATGTTTTGTTGAGGGAAGTTTCCACTCCCTAACCTGTATTCTGTCTCCACCCACTAATCCGGAGTGGAATGACACATCCGGATGGGTACCGGGAGCTTGTCTAAAATTAACCCCTTCCACTATTGACATATAACACTCTATGTTGAGTGGCCCCTTCACATGGTCATAATGTAATCAGCAACTAAAACTCGTCTCACTTTGAGTCTTGCTGAGTAAGTTTCTCCCTTCCCCTAGAGAATTTGAAAATATTTATTGTGCTAGCACGTCGACACCTTATAACTCAAAAGTAAAGCAGTTCTGATTGGTGTTAGAATTGTTCAGCTTGCCAGCGTTGGTGGCATACGCCTTCAATCCCAGCAGGTGGATCTCTGTGAGTTTGAGGCCAGCCTGGTCTACAGATCGAGTTCCAGGACAGCCTCCAAAACAATACAGAGAAACCCTGTCTCAAAAAAAAACAACAAAAAACAAAAAAAAAGAAATTGTTCAGCTTGCTTCAACGGAGTGGAGACTGCACAGGAGTCCTCAGTATAACCATAAGTTTAGTATGGTTTCAGCTAAATATTGCTCAATTTCTATGAAGATAATGAGGAATACAAAGCATTTCACACTAAATAGACAAAACTTCGAAGCAAGAAGAAACGGGCTCGCTTCCGATGATTGGCACGGGAAACATTAAGCAGAAACAGTTCAAATGACAGAAAGGAAGTCTGCAACTCTTGGGCCTTTTTTATTTGGATCAAGTTCTGAGCTCGTATAATCCCTTTGGAGACTCCCTAAGGGATAAGCAGCGAAACTTCATTTGTGTTCATACATTCGAATTTTACAGACTATCCCCTTGTAGGGATGGGCACATTTCGGTTTGCTTTGGGCTTCAGATGATCCTTGTCGAGGAAATGTATGCAGACTGTGTTGGGGGATGCCAGATTACCACAAACTGACTACCAAAGGATCTATTCTCTGGCCTTCAACCTTTTTGCTCCTGGTTTTATATATTCACTAGCGCTAATGGCCTGTTGGGACGCAGTGTAGTAAACAAACTAGGGGTCAATGTACAACCATACCCTCAACAGCTAGACGGTGGAGACAGAAGGACTGGGCGTTGAAAACCAGCTTTGGCTCCATAGAAGTTTGACACTACCTTGGACTCCTTAAGACTCTGTCTCAAAAATGAAACAAAAAAAAAAAAAAAAAAACACAAAGAAATATAGCCCAGGTGGTAAAGGCCTCTGCTCAGTCTCTGGCACCGTATAAAATCAGCCACAGTGGCATACATTTTTAAAAAGGGCTGAGGAGAAGGTTCGGTGGGTAAACGTGCTCTCCGCACAAGTGTGAAGAGGAGTTGGAATGCACAGTCTTCAAAGCCAAGTACAGAGCTGGTTTGAACATCTGTAATCCCAGCCCTCCTCAGAGGAGAGCGGAGGAGAGTTCTTGGACCAGTTATCCGGCCCACACAGAGGAAAAACAACAAGGAGACTGCCGAGTAAGGTGAAAGTCTTACACCTGCGCCTGAGGTAAGCCTGAGCTTGTCCTCTCCTCCACACACATGCCCACTTTCACCCACGGGAAGGTAAACACACACAGTAAATAAGGAAGCACACAAATAAATACTACAATACATCGAAAGCAGTCCTTATGTCGGAATTTGAAACAGGCAGAATTTGAATCCAGCAATCCCAGTGCAGTGATATTTGCCTGTGAAGTCTAAAGTTCCCAAAAGTGTATATATGGAAGTTATTTGACACACACAAAAAAAAACTGGAAAAGTCCATTGGTGGCTATCAGTAAGGGCTAGATTAAATGAAATTTTGACTGTCTATATACAGCAAGTATTTTTAAAGCACCAGGTAAGTACAATGTATGTTCTCATCTAAAGGAACAAGGCCCCAGCTGTATTAAGTAGAGGATAATCAAGAGGCAAAAAGACACTTGCTAGTTAACTTCAGTAGTATTACAACGCAGAAAATGTAAAAAGACCCACATAGTCTCCTAAACACTAGCTCAGGTCAAAAGAACAGCGCAGTCCTTAATGGAGGGGAGGCTCTTACAAGAGAGGAACTGTCAGAGAATCACACAAGAGGTAAATGACCTGGAGAAGGGTTAGGGCACAGAAGTGATACCAAAATGGACATGCATGGCAGGGACCTGTTTGTGGAAAGAAATGGACAAGCCAAGTTCAAAAATGCATCTGGCTTGAAGGAACCGAAGACTGGTTGGAGCCATCCAGCCAAGGAGGTCACAGTGGTCGCGTACATTTGAGATAGACAAGAACTAGGATCAGAAATAAGGTGTGGGCCTGAAAAGGACCTGGCAAGCATTTGCAACTGATTAGATTGAGAAGGGAGAGGTGAGTGGACTAGAAGGAGGAATCTGGGATGCGTCCAAGTTTTCAGGCAGTTGAAAGAAACTCAGAGTCGGGGCGGAGGGGAGATGAGGAAGTCCACGGGGGAATCTGATACTGGATCTGAGTTTAGAAATGAGAGGCGCAGCTTGGCAAAGAGGCACAGCTCATTGAAAAGGTCAGGACGCCGGAATACCTGCTGGAAGTTTATAGATTGCTGGAGCTGCAGGATCGAGTCTTGAGAAGGAAGCAACGCAGGAGGAACGGAGTTAAGCAGCTCGTCTATAATCCTATTCTTGGCCTGTACCTCTCCGGTAACGGGGTACAGTTTTGTTTATTTCTCTATGGCCTCCACTTCCAGTGAGGTGTGTAAGAATTAGTCGCTAGAGTGGAAACTGACTTCGAATGAACCATTGTCCATAGCCTTGACTGTTCGGCTAGTGAATTGACTCTGTAAGGCAAGATGAGCTGGTTTCACTATTTTAATATCCCGTGTTTTCTTAAGGAGATCAAGGATTTTATATTAACGGAAATTATAAATAAAGAGGACATGCTTACCCTCTTTTGTTTTTTCTGAATCAAACTTAGGAGCTTTTCTTTTTTTTTTTTTTTTTTGACTTTTTTACTTTTTAGGGTTTTTAATAGTCAAACGCAGAGGTCTGGTTCATTTTAGCTCCTTCACTGCCAAACCAGGGGGCAGGGACAGTTTCAACTTCTCAGCCTTCTCTTAGTCTGTGATGCCCGGGGTGTAAAGGTACCTGCTGTAGCAAACCTTGAACT